TTGAAAGCAATTTTTTAGTGACTGACACCTGAGTGATGAAAAATCAAATATAGTATATTGCCTAAAATAAAATTAAATCTCACGTAGTGAAAATGAAATAAATACTGGACAACGTTTGGACTCGAATGGCATATTTAGGCATTGGTTCGAATATCTTTGCAACAAGTGAAAGGAAACACATTCATTCATGAACTTACCTTTTATTATTTTTGATCTCTCACTGCGTTTCGTGCAAGCATATAAAAGATTTTGCACCAAATCAGGTAGACTGCATATTTACATATATACATTCATATGTTAGGCGTGTGAAATGGAATTTGCTGACTTTTTCGTCCGAGAATTCGGTCATGGTCACCTTTTTTTTAGTACTAATAAGGTTAGAATGAAGCGTTCTAATAATTCGCACATTTAAAAGAAGTTGTGCGAAACTTTTATGAGTGCTGAATGGCCTGTGTGCCATTATTTAAATTTATGTGCATATGTATATTTACATATATGAATATGGCACACACTTCCGTTCTCCTTCGTTTGCACACACTGTTTCATATACTGGCGTGGATCCAAGTACATACGCATGTGTATATATGTAAGTATATTTATAAATTGCTCACAGTTAACCCCCACGAAACTTTACTTTTAACGGATGTGCAGGGTGGCATTCAAGTGCCGATATGAAGTGCATAAGCAAATGTTCAGCTAACGGTATCAAGTACTATACGCAGCACACACGCACTTTTTAACAAATGCTTACTCATCATCACATTCGTAAATTGAGAGCGAAGTGTGGAAGGAAAAAGAATCAGTAAAAAGACTTAGAATCGCATTTAACAATGCACAAAGTAAACCAACCCATACGACAGCAAGGAAACAATCTAATCAACACCAGCAAACGAAGCAGCGCAAGGTTGTACACATCAACGGCTCACACGCACGCAATTTGGCTGATAGCTTTTAGCAAATTCATATTTTCAGATAAATATTCAATTAATGCTTTTAGCTGTTTGCTTGTGTGTGTGTGTATGTTTGTGTACCAATTAAGAGGGCGAAAATAAGAAAACAATTAAGTATTCCAAAAAGGGCCCGAATTCATAATTGAGTTCCACTTCAACGCCACGCCAGCGCGGTATTTTTTTCTTTTATCTGATTTACTTTTTTTTCGAAAATTTCAATAGTTCGCAAACAAAGAATGCTGTTTGGGAAATCGTATTCAATTTGCAAATATGTCGATAATTACTGGAGGTGTTGATGCGTGAAATAGCAAAAAAACATAAAAAAATGGAGAAATATTTCTTTTTTTTTTCAATTTCCAATTATAGTTCCCAGATGTGGATAAAGAATCATTAAATTGTTGATGAATTTATCGAAATAGAAAAATGTGTGCAAAGGCAATCAAAATTTATTTGTTGTTGAAATCTGAAGGCTATGAAATCTGAAGTATGAAAAATGGCGCTGTGTAGAGCTCTCTCGACTTTGTAGTTGCTCCGCTGTGAACTAGAGCTTCATATCTCTTCGCACAAAAAGAACAGCATTTAACAAGGCTTAATATTTAAATCGATTTAATAAATAAAAATTATTCATAAAAAATAAATAAAAAGTGCTTATACGTTCCAAAGTAGTCCTCTTCATAAGGCAACGCCCATCCCAAAGATCTGACCTTCATTAGAAAACTACTCAATCAATTTCAATTGATCCACACCAGACAGTTCAAGCTTAATTAAGCAAAAAGTATGAGTAATAAAGTAAGCAAATAAAGCTTACAAACCGCAATAGACTTCACATTTAATTAAAAAATATATAATAAAGTAATGAGTGGCGCACATTAGTATGAAGTACGAAGATACGACCAATAAAGAATAAAAATGATGAATCAAACTTGTATGTACATATTATATTTACATATGTACATATGTGTACTCTTAATATTTATGATTTGCTATGCTCGCTCATCTCAGATGTAACTGCAAACAAATAATGACAGCTTAATTTGAAATTACCCGAATAAATTGGTAGAAAATCGTAGAAACCTCAAATTACAGCGTAGAAAAAATGTATATATACATACATATGTACATATGTAAATACGAATTTCGTTGCAGTGCAGAGTAGCTTTGCGCTTGCGTAGTTGAAATGTTGGCAATAAAAGTGCGCGCCGCAGCTTGCTGCTCAATTTGCGTTATTATTTGGCGTAATTGATTGTGCGCGCGCAATTTCTTCTTTTCATGTTTTGTTTCTTCTTCAGTGTTTTACTTTTTATTTCTTTTATTTTTGCTTTTTTATTTTTTATTTCATTTTGTTAGTTATTTTATTTTATTTTTTTTTTCATGCCGCCAATTCAACAAGTGCCCACCGCCACTCAACGCTTTAAGGTTAACAGCGCCAACCATAATTATGTGCATACCACATACTTTCTAATATTGTAATATCTCAGCCACTTTCGTGCTTATTGTTTTGTGCGTATTGTTTTCAGTTTTCACCAATGACTTTTTAAGTGATTTTTTATATTATTTTATATTTGCGTTTTGGTTTTACCGTATTTTATTGCCGCCAAGTGTCATTTTCATGTCTCATCATACTTTCAAATGCGTGTAAAATTGCATTGTTGTGCCTATACATACATACAAACACACCTACAAGCAGCCTTGCATATATTTTGGCATCTACTTGTCTGCTGATTCAATATTAGATTTCAAAACAATGCAATGCAAGCAATACGGCTATATTACACGTATGTACTACCATTTCTTGCTTTCCCCTTCTGAAAATAAGTTTGCTTTTTGAAATTTCGGTTGCTAAATTAAAATTAATTGTATTTCTTTCTTTAATTGAACGCCAACTGTCAAATTGAAAAATTACTTCCTTCCTTTTGTTTTTCTTAGTGAAATATAATTTTAAAGTCTTGCTATCGACTTGCAGTAATCGATTATTTTAGTGCTGCATTTAGTCAAGCAAATTACTTTAAATTCTTTTCCATATAAGCTTTGTGCCATTCTATTTTATTTTTAACAGCATTTCGCGAATTTCAACATTTTTTTTTAAACAAAAACTAAAACAAAAACAAAACGAACAAAAGAAAAAGAAATTATTATTAATCCAATTAACCTGCAGTGTAACCTAGTTTTCATTTAATCAATTCCAGTTGAGCAATAAAAAATAAAATTTAAATGCATACCTACATATACCATACATATGCATGCAAACATATTCATGATTGTGTGTGCTTCTTTAACACTTTTTAATTTAACACCCTCAAACCCCAATCAGCGCATGAACGAAGGCACCAAACAACTGTTGGCGCCAAAAGCCCAGCTAAGTTAGTACGGTTCAGTACATTAGCGCCCATTGGTGACCCAATTTTATAAATAAGTGCATACATACATACGCACTTGCATGCTTTCTGCTTTTAATTCTTTATGGAGGCAAAACTTTTACATTACTTCTGTTAGCATTTCAAATAAAAAATTACAAGCATTTATCGAATATTACCGAGTTAATGTGTGTGCGGATGTACGTGTATGTATGGCGGCGAATGTAACGAAACCACAGAAGGTTCAGGCAGTTTTGAATGACAAAATTAAACGCTAAGCCTGTATGAGGTTCTAAAGTACTGGGTGTCACAATCAAATCAAAGTGGAACGTCATTGCGTCGAGGGCAAGTAGGACAGAACACTTACATAAACAAGTTGTTTGCTAATTTTTGAACTTGTGAAAAAACTTATGGCGGCCACAATAGCCAAGTGGCGTATCAATATTCGGAATACAGGGATTTGAGTATTTATCGAAAATTAATTTTTCTAATTTCATTCATTGGAAAAACATCAAGACAACACACCACAAATTGGAGGAGGAGTATTTATCGAAAATTAAGTTTTCTAATTTCATTCATTGGAAAAACATCAAGACAACACACCACAAATTGGAGGAGGAGCTCCGCCGAGAACCGCTTCAGTGGTAACAAAGCGCCAAATATCAGTCGCATCTTCTAAAAGTCACCTCAAACTCGTTTCAGAGATATTTTCCGTGGAACGATAACCTCGTTGTCTGATTTCCTCAACTCGTTATCATTTTATTGCTTCATTGTCATCATTCGTAATCGGCTTCAGCAGATTAATCGATTGTATTAGTTACCCATCGGCAGTGCAGAGCCATAATTTTTTGGTTATTTGCATCAAAAAGTTGTCTGTTTTAGTCTGTTTTAGTTATTCTTTTAACTATTCACTTTCCTGCCATAAATCCCTTTGCAAATGAGGGTTTATTATTCTGCACTTGACAAGATACTTATATTTTTTATTATGACTTTAGCCTAAATCTCGCTAAGCCTTAAATGCAAACAAAAAGAAAATCTGTACACGATATATGTACATATACGCGTGTGTATGTGTGTTTTCTTTTTTTAATATTATATTTTATTTATTTTTTGTGTGACACTACCAAGCTTGCATACATACATGTATATACATATGTACATATGTGCTAAATTTTTGATGGCAAGTTGTTCAGTGTGGAACACCATGAATGTGCGATGATTGTCTGTAATTCTGTAACCCAGATTTTATGTGCTTTTGCTGCTGCTGCTGCTGCTGCTGCTGGATACTACTTAAGAACAATCTTAAAAACATTTTACTTTTTCGTAATATTTTTGCGCTGTATTTTTGTCAAAAGCACTTTTGCGAGTTGGATTGTTTTGGATTTGTTATTTTAGTTTTGCGCAATTCATAGTTGGCAAGCCGCAAATGAGTTGCTTGTAAGTTTTGCCCAACACGACTGTTAGTGGCAGTTGAAGTGCCTTGCACTCTTGTGATTTTTTTTTTCTGCTCTAGAAAGGGTCCATTGAAACGAATTTAAAGTGGGCTGGCATTTATTAGGATTGTCGCAATGGAATTTTTTTATATTTTTTCAGACATCCAAAAGCGAATAAATGTTTTTAATGCGAAAAAAAAATATTCTACATACATCCTTTCATTCCACCTTATATTTAATTTTCCACAACTTCCTCATTTCAGAATGTGGTGGACCATAACCGGCAACTTTGGCAACATACTGCCAATCGATTGGTCCAAGTCATTTACACGCCAAATGCATATGCCCACATTGAACTTGGGCCAAAATAAGCTTGGTGGCGGCAGTGCAGGCAATTCGCTTGACGTCACCACCCCCGGTGATGAGCTGACTAGCGAGGATGAGGCCGTTGCCAATGATCTCGACATGCATGCACTAATATTGAATGGTTTAAATGCCGAGCAGGAGGAACCCATTAAATCGGTTGAGGAGGTAATCAAGGAGATTGATGATATTATGGATGAGGCTGAGAGTCCATTGGACGAAGCAGAAACATGCGAATCGGAGGTGATAGAGAAGGCTAGGGAGGTATTGGGCGCACCATTATATGCTGAAAGTGAGTAGTAAATATTTATTATATTATTATTATATTATTATTATTTCTTTTTTTTTTTAATTTTTCACTGTCAGAACTGCAATATTTATCGATATCACAATTGAATGAGCTCTACATGGAAATGGAAATGCTCATACAAGAACTTAGCGAGACTCTTATCAATGAGTTGGCGTTGCGCGATGAGCTCGAATATGAGAAAGAGTTGAAGAACTCGTTCATTTCTCTCCTATTGGCGGTGCAGAACAAACGTCGACAATATCATGTGGAGAAAAAGCGTGGAAAGTTGCAAGGTATGTTGAGAAAGAAAGGATTAAGTATAGTTTAAAAATTAGAATGGCAGTTTGCGACGAGAGGTTAGGTTTTAGATAGCAATATGTATTGTAGCTAAAGTGAGGTTATGTAGAAGTTTAAGTTAAATTTAGGTTATGCGACTCTTAATATATGTATAAATTTAGGAGAATTTCATTATATATATGTGCATATATATTTCTTTAAACATTAAACAATGCTTTTCAATCATCAGGACCGGAACCCAAGTATCTGACCACTGTCATACCATATCACATGGAGAATGGCACACCAAACAACCAGTCCTTGCAAGTGCTAATAAAAAGTGAGTACAACACAGCAACAATTGAGAATATAATATAATTTTTTCAACCAACTTTCTCATATCATTCATACAGTTTTAAAAGCCATCAATGAGGATAGCCCAACGGTTCCCGCGTTGCTCACAGACTACATATTAAAAGTACTCTGCCCCACATAAATACCTGCAAACATACACGTGCAGCCAGTAGATGAGGATGATGAGGAATTTTGTTAGATGTTTTAGTACGTAATTGCGATGAATAACATTTAGAACAAAAGATTAAAAATACAAAATATAAAAAAACACACAATAACTCATACATTTTGAGTGAAAAGAGAAGCTAATTTAAATGAACAATTTAAGTTAAAACAAGTATAAAAATTATAAATAATAATAAGTGTTTTCTATATATTTTTAGTTATGAATTGATAAAAAAAAGAGCGGGTAAAGAGAAAATAATACATAAAGTAGAAGATTTTAATTAAAACATAAAGAGAACAATACTTTTATGTGTGTATATGAGTGTATAGCCAATGATATACATTTTAGGGACAGTAAAGTACGTTGGCTAAAACCAAGTTTCGATAATAATTGAAGGCTTGCTAGTGGAAGTTTATTCTACTTTCGAAAATTTATGAGATAAAGCTATTTTTTCCATAAAAATTTCTGCATATGCAAGAGGATTTCTTTACACGGTGAAAGTATACAAAAATTTAATAAAATTTCAACTGCCCACATGTTAGTACATGATATTAAGAATTTGTGTTTATACGCTTGAAAAAAATAATTTGCGTTGAAATAAAAACTAAAAGTAAAAAAAAAACATAAAAGAAAAAATCCCGCTCTCAAAGTCTCTTGTGCATTATAATACTGTAATAATGTGAAAACAAAAACAATTTTACATGAATTTATAATTTTGTAAAGCTTAATGTAATTAATTTAAAATTATTATTTTATTAAACGCTAATTAGCAGTGTTGCTTTTTGTGTAAGTTGAGAATGCATTAATATAGCTGTAAATTTAAATATAATTATAAAGAAGCATAATTTTAAAGTAAAACATGGCTATATAAGCCTAAAACATACATATGTACATATGTAAGTGCATTATGAGTATTCAGTGAAAGAATTGCAATGAGCGAAAAAGGAAAACAGTGTTTTCCCTAAATGGATGGCTTTTAATAAAAAGTAAATTAATTTGTATTATATACTGCCTTTCTGTAAATGGAAAACATAAAATCATATATTTTTCTATTGATTTGAAGAACTAAACAGCTTTGGTGGCAAGCACATGCATTTCCATTTCATTTGTGTTGAAACTTCGTTTAATACGAAACTTTTTTCAGTTTTAATGCTTTCAAGAAAAGGTAAAACTTTATTTTTATTTCATTTTATTGTTGATATTTAATGTTTTTCAAAGCTCTCGTAAAAATGTTTAATTTTTAATATCATGCACATCAAGAATATAAGCGTAAAGTATATAAAAATAGTTTTAAATTCTTTTGCAGTGGCCATATTTTTGCTTACGACTTTAAAAAATATCCTCATTTGTGTATTTTAAGATATAAATATTTGTTGTTTATATAAAAGGCAAATAATATATGTTTTTACTTATCTTACACATAAAACACTAGTTTTTAAGTAAAAATTATTAATTTTTGTAGTATTGAAAACAACATATTTTTGTTTTCGTTTTCTAAGCCGAAATAATGTTGTTGAGTACATATATTTCACCACACGTGTAAATGCATTGAAATGTCTAACCCAATTAACACTGGAATGCTCTATTCTCTTAGTTAAAACTACAAACTAAAGCAACAAAAAAAAAACAACTCTTATACTCTACAAGCTTCTCTTTTATTGTATTTAAACATAGATATGGCAAACTAATTCTTCCTAAGCACTGTGTTATTTTTATTTTATGAATTAATACGCTATACTGTTGTTATTTTTATTAGTTGAAATCTGCAGCAATATTTTGTAACGTTTAATTTTTATAAAAGTCATTTGAATAGTTTAAATGAGATTATTTTTACTTACATATATTTTTAAAAAGTGATTTTTTCGATTGTAAAATATATTTTTAATAAAGCTTAATGCGTACGTATACATTTTAAAAAGATTTTTTTTCGTTGCGTTCATAAAAAAGGTAATAATTGAATTTAGTTTTTGAATTTCTTTTATTTTTGATTTTATAAATTTATTTTATTCTAATACAAGTGCGTATACTCGATTTTCACTGCCATTTTTTATTTGTATATTTGATTCATTTTCTTAGTTCAAAAATTTTCATTCGATATAACCTCACTTTCCAAGAAATTAATATTTTTCGCTTACTCTCGAAAGATAAAAGATAAGAATAATTTATTATTTTCATCTATGTCATTTGGCCTGACTTCATAAGTGCTAATTACATCATTCAAAGGTTATTCATAGGTTAAATCTCACTAGAAACGCTGCTTTTTTGTCATAACTTACACAAATATATTAATAATAATTTATTTATTTTAAACGATGTGTAAACAAAGTGTCTAAAAAATCGCAGAATTGTTTATACAACAGCGCTCTTGCTTATTTCTCGGCTGGCGGCTGCGATTATTACTAGACACTTTGCTTATCAATTATCGATAAGTTTGAAAATGTCAACTGGTTTTAGTTATCGCTAATGAAGATTTTCGTATTCATAATGTTTAACTATTTATAGTGCGATTTCTGGAGTTGTGTGCGCTCAAACTAACCTAAAATGTTTTTTCAGTCTTTTTTAGAAGCCGTCAATTTATTTATTATTAAATTTATTTATTATTTATTATATATATGTAAGCAAATAAAAGAAACGGAAACAGCTTCAACTTGATCGCCACTTGCCTTCCTTCTATCTTGCCTGATTTATTCTTTTTTATTCTCCAAATTAAGACACAATTTTTATCATACATAAATAAATAGATAAATGAAACTCAAGTGCACTAGCGAAGTCTTATCGTCTTAACAAAAATTTCACATCTATTAAGTCACAACAGCTTCACACACACACATCATACTAAGCAATTAGTAAATATAACTATGTATTACAAAAGCAAAACACTTTAGATTGAAACATACATACACACATACATAGATAATCGCTAAGAATATAGCTAAAAAATAGTACCGCTTCATAAGAAAAACGTAATAACATTTGTAATAAAAAAAAATGCAAAGTAATAAACAAATAAACGATTTTGAATTTTTGTAGTTCAGTGTCAGTTCCACACGACACAAAAGCACCCTAGGTACCTTAAACGAATTATACATGCACACATGCAATTATCTAATCCTAACCTATAAAAATTGTACTCAGAAAAGTTTGCCACAAATATGTTAAGTCGTTATTTTTGAAAGTTTACACTAAAAATTTGCAAAACCCATACAATTTCACAAAAGCTTGCAACAATTTTTGTTATTCCTTCCAAATTATTTAATTATTTTATAAAATATATAAGCACACGCCTAACGCAATAATTAAAGAAAAGTATAATAAAATTCAACAAAACAGAATCCCAGCGGGCCCGCTTGAAGGCTCTTGCGTGCCGCGCAACACGTAATAGAAAAATATGCGTCAAGAATTAAAAAAAATAACTGCAAAAAAACTTTAAGCAAATTTATTATTGTATAAATTGAATGACCAGAGACAAGAAAATATAAATATATTTAAAAAATTACGCTATACATATGTAATCGGCAAAGTTGTGCTGCCTGTCGAAAGTACGTGAATTTAAGATGAAATTAATGAATGTCCATGTTTATTAGATATAAAAATATTAATAAAGACAAAATAATAATAATGGAAATAAAACAAAAATATTTCGAGTAAAGCAAGTTAAGAGAAAAAGCGAAAAATCACAAAAATTTACAAATCATAATTAATATGAAATTATGATATAAAAAATTGATTATAATGAAAACGTAAACAAATCTAATGAATGTAATGCAATTCTCTATATACAAACATTTAAAAATGCTTAAATAAAAAATACTGAAAAACGCACAAAAATATGTTTGGACAATTAACTGAAAAATACGAGGAGAAGCAGCAGATTTTTTTGACAGCTGCTTGACATCCTCATCGGAACAGCCTCGGTCAAGGCAAATTCAACAAGGTGAAGTTACTATGACAACGAGCTCAAGTTTTTTTATTCATTAAATTTGCTGATTGTCAAAATTATGTTTCAGTTCCTGTTCTGTTTGTATGAAATTAATTTGATTTTCTGTTTGTGGGCGTGAATATCTAGAGAATCATCATTTAATGATTGTTTTCTGGGAAGAATGAGTGAAAAAAAAGTTTGTGTGCTTTTAAAGAACGCCTAAGCAATTGTTATATGAGTTCTGCTTTCACCTTAATGACTTTGTCTTGGGTTCAGTTATATAAGTCGGAAGTGCTTATAGCGAGCCATTACAAGACCGACACCCGTTCGCAGTCGCACTTCCCGTTAGCAGAGATTGGAGTGAGACTATAACGAAGACTTACTCTACATTGTTGTTGTTGTAGTAGTTCGCAAACTTCGCTTAGAAGCAGGCGAAATTAACTTAAGTCATCGAGGTCATCTATCGGAAGGTTCACGAAACGGGCTGTTTGGACGGGGTTGGACCTGGTGGAAAGAGGGGTAAGATGAGTTCGTTTTGGGAAGCATGCAAAGAAATGGCCAATGTCATTCGGGACCTCTTGTCTTGTCTTGTCTTGAATTGTCTCCTTGCTGATTCTAAAAAGAAAAGAGGAGTGCCTTTATCATCAACTTCATTTGTTTACCGTGCATGAGCCTTCCGCATAAGTTAGCAATAATTAAAAAAAATTAAAACATTTAGGGTGCAAAGCTACCTTCATAAGTATCTATTGTACATATATAACCCCTATGCAATTAATTTGATTTGAATATTTTCAAATTGTAAACATTTTTATTGCCTAGCTTAAATGCAAACCGGTTTTAAGTGGATGTCTCACTTTTACGAAGCACCAGATCTTTGCCGCAACTTCGAAAGATGTTCGAAAAACTTACTTACTTACATATTGCAGATGAGCTAACGAACGCACACCGAGAAATGTGTTGAGTAAGTAGAAACTCAATTATTTTTGGGGGCCGGAACTGTACAAACGATAAGTGTGAAATTTGCTCGTAGAGCTTTGAAATTCGGCTATGAACTTTCTGAGCGGAAGCTCGTAGTAAATTATCTCTTGGTTAAGATTGTAAACATTATAACAACCCAGACAATGAAGAGACAAACAAAGTTTGCCTTATCAGAAATAGAAAAGAATTTTTGGTTTCAGCAACACCAAGTATCTCGAACGAAGAGCTTTCCGATTACATGCATATATGCATATGTGCGCCCACTTAAAGCTACTGACTTGCTGTTCCTGTTATCAGCCTCACGCGCACGAGCTCATACCTTGATAATGAAATCAAGTATGTAGTACTTAGTTAGAAGAATCAAGCTTCTTCAGAGCATCGTTTTGTCTCAAATATATGCACCATTTGCAAAAGCCAAATAGTCAGTTTTTCGCCGACACTTGAGCGCAATGGTTGAGAAAGTAATTTTGGCTTATTCAGGCGGTCTCGACACCAGCTGTATCCTCAAATGGCTGCTGGACAAGGGTTATGAGGTTATTTGTTTGATGGCTGACGTCGGACAAAAAGAAGACTTTGCTGCAGCACGTCAGAAGGCCTTGAACATTGGCGCTTCCGAGGTAATCGTGACAGATGTGAAAGAAAAGTTCGTGGAACACTACATTTGGCCAGCCATTCAAATGGGTTTGATCTATGAGGAACGTTATCTGTTGGGCACCTCTTTGGCTCGTCCTTGCATCTCCGTTGCGCTGGTAGAAGCGGCTAAGAAATATGATGCTAAATATTTGGCACACGGCGCCACTGGCAAAGGAAACGATCAAGTGCGTTTCGAGTTGAACGCGTACGCGCTGCTCCCCCACATTAAGGTGAGTTTAGAGAATATGGGTGTGATGTACATAATATATGCATATACCAACAAAATGGAGTAACCTGCAGTTTATACTAAGCCGCCTCCGAACGACTGTATACGTATAAACCCTCCTAAATTTGGAGAACACGTCAAGTTTGATAGAGGGTTCGCAAGCCGGACTTTCGAACTTATACCAATGATTTTCAAACAAAAATTCCAAAAATACAATCCATTGAGCTTCAGTTTTTAATCATATCGCAAGTGTTGTTTGTTATGAGTTCATGCAAGGTTATCTTAGCTGTTATTGCCTCACGCATATTTCGACGTCAGTCATCCAATAAATTATCAAAAAAGTTTTTCAATCCAGATATCTCACATATAATTGTAATCTCTTTTTTAATTTGTTTACGAGCTTTTCACTTTGTTTCTATTTAATGACTTTAGAATTTTTCTAAATTAGCCGATTTTTTAAATTCATACTTTTTCAACTACTCTTATTCACTATACCACTTGTTACTTATTATTATCAAAAAAACATTTCTTCCAGATTATTGCACCATGGCGAGATGAGGAGTTCTGCAAACGCTTCCAAGGTCGCTTAGATCTTATCGAATATGCAAAGAAGCACGGCATTCCCGTGAGCGCCAAGCCAGCTGCTCCCTGGAGTACAGACGCCAATATCCTGCATATCAGTTATGAGTCAGGTGTTTTGGAAGATCCCTTCCATGTTGCTCCCGAGTCGCTCTATGAAATGACTGTGGATCCTATCACCAAAGCACCAAAAATACCTAAACGCCTTTCCGTACATTTCTCAAGCGGTCTCCCCGCCGCTGTAGTCGATCAATCAACAGGCAAACAGTACACAAAACCTTTTGAAATTCTACAGTTCTTAAACGAAGTAGGTGGTTCTTACGGAATCGGACGCATTGATATTGTGGAGAATCGTTTTGTGGGTCTAAAGTCGCGAGGTGTGTATGAAACCCCCGGCGGTAATATATTGTTCACCGCACACCAGGATTTGGAAGTATTTTGCTTGGACCGTGAAGTATTACGCACCAAGCAAGTTTTGCGTAATCGCATGGCCGATTATGTATACAATGGTTTCTGGTTCAGTCCGGAGGCTCAATATGCCCGCCGTTGCATAGAGATCTCTCAGGAGCATGTAAGCGGTGAGGTAGTCGTCGAATTGGCGCCGGGATACGCACGTGCTATAGCACGTAAATCGGCTAATAAGTCGGGTGGTTTGTACAACGAAGAGCTGGTCTCTATGGATGTACATGGAGGATATGTGGCAAACGATGCCAGCGGTTTCATTGCTATCAACTCGGTACGCATTCGTGAGCATGTACGTGCTTTTGGTGATTACGAACAGCACTAAAATGGAAGTTGGAAATGGCTTAGGAAATTATAATTGTAGAACTATTTTTGTAAATAAAACTGAGTTTTGGATGTTATTGTAATTTCTCCGCTATAAAGAATTTTTATTTAAAATCACAAGACGAGCTATCAAAGTCCTATAATCCTTGTCAATAGTCATTGGGTCTGGTTGAAAGCCAAGTCCTGGCGTGCCACTATTCTCATAAGTCCATATTTTGAATGTGGCAATACTGTTAACGTTACGTTGCGTCAAATTACTGATCAGCAGCTGTTCGTTGTCAGTAAATAAATAAATACAAATTCTTATTTCTACGATTTAAATTTCAAATTGGTTGAAAATTGGTCTAAAAAATTTCAATAAGTAAGCCAAGAACTATGGAGGAGGATCTTGCCCTAAGCAGCTTGTTATTTATGAAAATATGTAATTTATTTGGGCGTTGGAAAAGAGCTCAAAGACGCAGTCCGCCGAAGCGCTTAAACCGAAATCTAGAGCAAATTAAAAAAAACAAATCTAGTTTATCTTTGCCTCCTGAAGAATTTTGGCGGTGTCCAAATAATTTCCATTGGGTTTTCGTACCAATGAAAGAACAAGATGACGAAGAATTTTTTGAAAATACTTGCATGAATGTAACCATGTTTAACAAACTCGTCTCACTGTTGGAACCCGAAATAGCGGAGTCAGCATTGTTACCGGAGAAAATAACCGCTGAACAATGTCTTGTTCTAACATTGGAGTGAGTATAAGAATATAAACAGTCAAATAAAAATTTCATTCATATGTGTGTTTTAATGCAGATATTTAGTGAAAGGTTTCACCTTTTACTATATAAAATCAAAGTATAAATTGCGCAGCTATGAAACGGCGCATGATATCATTTTAGAAACTTGTGAGCTTTTGTGGAAAGTACTAAGAGAAACATATCTTGCTGAGCCAACGGAATCAACGTATAGCACCATAGCAGAAAAATTTTCAGAAAAATGGCATTTGCCGTGCTGTGCTGGTGCGATAACTTGCATGAAAATAGTTACTAGACGAAAGAAAAATCGTTCAAATTACACTGCTGTTTTAGCAACTTGTGATCACAATTATGTATTTACATCGCTGTGCATTGGTAACAAATGTATGTTTATAAATTTTTACTTTTAAGCTTTGATTTTTTCAACTTTCGAAAATAAAATGTGTTTTTTTTTTTCAAGGTGAATTTGAAAACACATCATTCGGACAAGCAGTGATAAACTGTACTTTGCCGTTTCCCGATACTGAAGACCTTACTGGAAACAAACCCAAATTTCCATATTACTTTGCTGGAAATTTATGTATGCCGTTACTCAAAACCATAATGCGCACTTATCGTCGATTTGAGGAAAGTGATCGGCGAAAGATTTTCAATTACCGCATATCTCGTGGTTATCAAGTAATTGATAATGCCTTCGGCATATTGATAGCACGTATGCATATATTTCAAAAAGCAATCAATACGAAACCTGATGATTGCAAAAGCATTGTTCGAGCCGCGGTGGTGCTGCACAATTTTATAATGGTGAATGACGAAAATCAAAAGTATTGTCCACCAAAATTTGCGGATTGGGAAGATGATAATCATTCAATAAAAGCAGGCGGTTGGAGATATACAGCGGGTAAAAAAATTTTCTCACTACGACCTGCGAAGTGGGCTGTTCGAAATCATAAGCAAGTGGCGGTAGATCGGAGAGATTTTTTAGCTGCATATTTTGAAAGTAAAGGCGCAGTCGAATTTCAAAACGAATTTGTAGACTCAATAAGTGTTTAATATGATTTGGAAAAAACTACAAGTAAATACATATGTTATTTTAAGTAAATTTTCTTTGAATAATTATTAAATTTATTGGAAATGAAAAACTCCTGCTGTTTTTTACCTTTCAAATAAATTTTTGATGTTCTGCTGTTCCGCTACCACCCTACCTTAAAATATTGCAGCGCTGTGCTACCCTGTTCACAGGTTTCAGTGCGGCGAATGTAAATGTCGAATTCAACCGATTATTTCTATCGAGTTTATTACTCATCGCTACGCATACATCGGGGAAAATATTCAGTGGACAACTTCTGTGGATATCAGTAGAAAATTGTGAAAATTATCAGAAATTGATAGAGTAAAAGTGTAAAATTTATTTAGTTTTTTGTGTGTGGGCGCAAGACGGAACCATAACGCGGTCAAGGAAAAAAATACGTAAAAAATGGCGTTGAAAGTGCTGGTTGGGCAAAGTAAGTGATTTGTAACATATAGCTAATTGTATGTTAAAAATTAGCAAGAAATATATCTCGTATATGTACATATGTACATCGGTAAAAAAAAGTATTCTATAGTGACTGAATTATGATAAGATTATTGTATATGAATTTTCGTTAAATTTAGTAATACGTGGACTTTGTATATTTATTAGAATATCCCATCATAGCGGAAAATTGCATTTTAGTTGTGAAAAAAAGTATTTCCGTATCCGTGTTAAGCAATTATCGATTTTCCCCCGTAACGACCTTTTTCCTTTTTCTTGCGCAGCCCCAACGCTCTGCTGTGCTTAGCTGGAGAACATATATATGTGCAAGCATATATGTATCTACAATTAAATTTTCTATTGCATACATTATGAAGGCTGTGTACTGTTGAAAATACTGAATGCACTATGCGTGACGTATGTTTGTATGTGGGTCGGTGATACGCTCTTCTTATCAGCTCTTATCCTTCCGCCTACCAGCAGAAACGCCTACTTAAAGATTATAACCATGCAATACACGTTTGTGTGTATAAATAGTCCTGTGCAAAGTTTGGGAGGTTCCAATGGCGTGCGCAAAGATAAATTTTTGTCATTAATAGGTATCAGAGTTTATATTATTGAAACGTACTATTTGTTTTTGTTTGGGTCTTTGTGACGTCATTAGTCGAAAGCGGCTTTGTGGGTGGAATTGTTTGTATGTTTTGTTTCTTGTTTATATGTATGCATGATTCAATAATTTAAAATCATTACTTTATATGTATACGTGTTGGTGTTAATTATTTTCATTGTCGCTAATTTTTGTTTTGTAGGTTTTTATAGCGATTCACAGGTCGCAAAATGACTCATTAAGCATTTCTCAGCCTGTTTACCTGATAGTCACTTACTTCTTTAAGAGCTTGCACACATTCCTACATGCCTATGAAATATACATTTAATATATTTAGTTTCATAAATTTTGATGGAATTTTATGCCAAATATAATATAAAGCAATAACGCATTCTTAAAATCTCAAAGCAAGCCTAGATATGTGTAAACATATTTAAGTACAAATTTGAACGCAATTCAAAATGCAGCTGTAATGCCCGTTAAGAAGATGTAATTTAGAAAAATTGATTGCGTTGCAGCAGTCCAAACAGAGTGATTCATTAATTTTCCCAAAGCAACGCTTAGCACCAAATAGAAAAGTATGTCTGTTATAAAAAATCATTGTCTGGATCAATGCCAAGAAGACTCATTGCAAATCGAATGCATCCATCCCTCTTCCAATGTGAATTTGACAATTTTCTTTTGCATTGAAAAATCACTTCAGTTATTGGAAAAGTCTGTGCATATTAACATGTCATGCTATTTATAGACAGTTAAAACCGCTAGACCGCTTGGTTGGTTGGTTGGTTATATGTGTTTAGTTTTCTAAGTGAATTTTGTTATCAACAGAGGAAAACTAAATAGTAAAAAATTTAAGTGAAGGCAAAGATAATGCCAAAAATTCCAACATGTGTTAAACTATGGGATGCTTACCATCTTAGCAGTTCTCGCAGTTTTAACTTGAACTAAGTTTCTTCAATTTCGAAAACCTGTTTCAATGTGAATCACCTCATATATGTATGCCAATGAAATTGATTTCTAGGTAAATAAGTTTGTGAGTATTGCTTTAATTATGTTTATTATTTCGAATAGCATTATTTAACTTTGAAAAGTTATAAAATTCTTTACTACATCTGGCTGTCTATTTCTCACTATATTCTATTCTTATGTTTATTTCTCTTATATATAACAGAGATTATGAACGAGGTGGTGAAATATAAACCACCACCACCGAAGAAGGCTGGCGCTGTGGCTGCTGCCAAGGCACCAGGCGGCATGGAATGGCGAGTGCTGGTTGTTGATAAGTTGGGTATGCGTATGGTGTCCGCCTGCACCAAAATGCATGAAATAAGCGCTGAGGGCATAACTCGTAAGAAGAATTTTTATAATGTCCTTACTTCTTAACTTACATACATATATAAATGTGTATGCTTTTCTTCTATCAGTGGTCGAGGATATCAATAAAAAGCGTGAGCCGTTGCCTACAATGGATGCCATCTACTTGATCACACCATCGGATGAGTCAGTGCGTGCTCTCATACGCGACTTCGAGAATCCAGCCAGGCCAATGTATCGTTATGCGCACGTTTTCTTCACTGAGGGTATGTAACAGATTAAATTATGTAGTTTTGTATTTTGAAATTCCATTTTTTCATTTTATATATAATATTTAATTTATGATTTTCCAAATATTCCTGAAAAACAGCAATACCTGAAGACATATTCCATATGTTGCAAATACGCAGCGATATAACGCGCAAATATATACGCACATGCAAAGAAATCAATATTGCATTTATAGCCTATGAGGATAAGGTAGTGCCATACATAAGTTAAACAAAAAAAACAAAAAAAGAAAAGAATAAGTGGCAATTTCAAATGTTTCTTATGAGCTTATTATGAGCTGCTTAACCAATTAACACTAACTAACCTATTTTAAGCTGCTTTTGGGTTCTGGGCATGTCATAACATGCATTTCTCTAATACTAAATGAGTCATTTTTGTGTGAAAAGTCACATTTCCAACTGGCTAAATATAATTTAACTTATTTTATGTGAATTGAAGTCCTCGTTACGTTTTGTAAATATAAGAAAATGTCTTATAAGCTCATTTGAAATCATTTCTCACACGGTTTCGGCCCTTTTATGCGTGTTAAAGAAAATTATTTGGTTTAAAACTAAACTCATTTGGTACCAAGATCTTCAAACAGTGTCTGTCTTTATACATATGTACAAGTGTACATGATTTACAAATAGGTATACAAAGTCTTCAAATGTATTGTTGTGCTGTTGTTTTACAAATTATGTCTTTGAAAAACTTTTTATATAACAAAAACAATTTTAAGTAATTTCTTACAGCAAATATGGGTAAGAGAGTGATGCTAAAAGTCTTGCAGTTTCATCTTTTATTTTTTTTATTTCAAAATAAGATATATACGAGTATATTGTTTTAAAATTAGCCCTTAGCTTACAAAGTTAAATTTTTTAGAAAATAATAGAAATGTTAGGAAAACACTCCGTAGCATTGAAAAAGCTATTTAATAAATGCAAAAAAAAAAAAAAATATAAGACATAACATGAAAATTCCACAAAAGAAAGAAATTGCGTTAGGGAACAGTTAAAGCCGGAGGTTTATGGAAATTTAAAAAAAAATAAAAAAAAACATTAACTTAACGTAAATACATTGCAATTTAAAAAATTGTTTTTAATTAAAAGAAGTTTCAATTATAAATTAATATATAATTAGTTCTGTCATATTTTATTTAATTCTCCTTTATTTAAAACAAATTAAATACTAAACTTTAATTAACGTGTGTATTTACAATATATTATTCAATTTGTTATTAATAGATTTTTCTGAACATTAATATATTTTTTATATCAGGCAAATATTTTCTCCATTATTTTTTTTTAATTTTTATTATTATTGTTATTTTTATTATCCAGAAAATTATTTTTTTCTGAATAAAATTAAATTCAAAATAAACTAATGCTGTTACTAAAGGCGTTCAAGCGTGTCAAAACCCTTTTTGGCTGGCAGCATGCAGCTGCATATTCTGCTTGAAACCTAATTAACGGACCCTTTAAGCCGTATTATTTTATTTAAAGATATTTCAAAATCCGCTTCAAAAGAAAAAGAATACTCGCATAACTAAGTTCGAAAATATATACATATATTTGTAGACAAACATAGTTACAATACATCACCATCACCTAGCTCGCCTCACATACATAAATATTACATCATACTACTCACATGCATACCTACATATATACATATGTACATTTGTAAATGCCTACATAAATGTATAGATATGTATGTATGTACATACATATATCTCAGTTATTTTTATCATTTTTCATTATCATTTTCTTTGTATTATTATATTTATATACTTATAGTTTGCCCGGAGGAATTATTTAACGATTTGTGTAAATCGTGCGCTGCAAGAAAGATCAAAACTCTAAAGGAGATAAATATTGCATTTCTACCATACGAATGCCAGGTGCGAATAAAAAAACAATAAAAAACCTAAAAACGGAATTAAAAAATTCAAATTATGTATATATAAGAACCACGATAAGAAAGTAATAATTGTGTGCAAGCATTCGGCAATTGTGTAATGCCTTTTTTTTAGTAAAAAAAAAATTACCATCTTTTTTATTCCAACCAAAATCAATTTTACACGCCTCTTCAACGCTCTTCTTACTTTTTAAATACACGCACACGCTAAGAATTTTTTTTTTAATCTAAAATAGATATTTTTAATTCTGTACAGTAATGTTCGCTGGAAAGGAGTTGGGAGCGAGGAGGTGGCATACGCATTTCTACTAATTTCATATTGACTGAAAATTTGTATTTCATTGAAATTTTCTTAAATCGCCAATTGGATAACAGAATTGAATATTTTCCATTCACCTGAGCAAAATATTCATTAAGCTTATTTTTACAACCGATAATTGTTTACTCAACAAATTTTTTGGTCGTAGAAATTGTAAAAAGCAATAATTTCCTGAACTACAGTTGATATTTCGATAGAAAGTATGAGCTCTTTGCTTCTTACTTTCTATTTTGCACTTCTTGCTGCTTTCTGACGTCACTTGTCTTCCTTTGTTCTGTCATCAGCCTTTATTAATCAAAAAATGACTTAACGGCTATGCTAATGACGGCAATAACCAACTCACTAAGTTAACAGCCTTCAGTACAAACGTTATGGTTCAAGAGTTCCAAGTGCGTTTGCCGCAAACAGCTGCTTCTCTGACGTCAGCCCAACAGTTTTTTGTCATTTGTTGCAGTGTGATAAAGAAATCTGAAAGGGTTTATCACATTTGCGATTAGCACCTCCTTCAATCCTCGCACCAGTATATCCCTGCCTCGCTGCGTGTGTGCCCCTTCTCTCTAAAGAACAACATTTGTACTCTTTTTTACTGACTCTTTGCAAATATTTGTGCGCTCTTTCTCTCTCTTCACTATCCCTTTCTTAAACTCTTTGTTATTTCCATCACTCTGAATGTTGTAAATAATTTTACAAGTAAATAAAAGTTGTTGTATATTTTATTGTATGTGTGTAAATTGCTTAACAAATTCAAAATATCAGAGTAAAAGGTGCAAAATGGCAAATGTATTAAATATGCAATTATCATGCCCAACCTCTGTTGCCATCTTACGCTTTTTGCTGCTCTTATTTTTTTCTTGGTTTGAATTATAAATGGTAAAACCGAAACCGAATCGCTGCGAGCACTTTTCACTGGCGCCTGATAATAAAAAATGAAAGAAAAAATTCAATTTTTTTCTCATGAGATGCAAACTTTGCGAAATTGCCACAGTTAAAGTGTCCGACTCTCAGTTGCCTGCCACTTTAGCTGTTTGTGCAATACAAGTTATTAATTACAACAACAATGACAGCAAAAAAGAATGAAAACTGTGAAAATATCTCCTTAAGTTTTGTTTAACTTGTTTTGTAGTGTTCAATTTAATGTATGTGAATTGTATACAGAAAAGCAAATCGTTGGAAACAACAACAATAACAAAAAGAACGAAAGCGTCGCCTCCATTGAAGACGCTTACGTGCTATAACCTTTTTTTTTTGTAATTTATTGATTTCTTTCTACTAACCAAACACTATTTATTCAGTGGAATGATGAAAGAATGTCAAAAAACACTTAAAACCAAAACTATATTATATGCCAAATTACACGCACACACACACAAACAAGCACTTGCCGCATGCCACGTGCAACGCAGCAAAAAAAAAAAAAAAACACTTGAAAAATATTGGCAACCAAAGAAGAACAGGCCATTGTTGTTTGAAACACAATACGCTTGTTGGCGAATAAATGCGAAATTGTCAAGCAAATTGTGTAAATTTACGTAGAGAATTTATTGCAGAAGTAGAAAGTAGCAGATATTTTTGGAATAAATATTGAAAACAAATTTTTTTTATTTTTTTTTTATTCAAATGTTTTATTTTATTTCTTAGTGTTGGTATCCTAAAGAATTGTAGGAATTTTTTAATGCACCGTATATTTGTGTATTTGTTTATATGTACATTTAGCGTTGAACTAACATGAAAGTATACAAATTTACATGGAACAATTTGCCAATTTCGCATTTATTTACACTTTTGTTTGCTGTAATTTGACATGTAACTCACGGGCTTAACGAGAAAAATATTAAAAAAGAAATATAAGGGACTGATGAAGGTTCATTTGTAAACTAATTCAATTAATTTAAGATTTTCTGTTGATAAACATAAATAGGTATATATATATATATATACTCTGTATGTATTCAAAATACTATTGCTAACATTTGTAGTCCTTATTTCTATTAATTCAATTCAAATTTACTGTCACTATGAAAATTTTAAAATAATTTCTAATTAAATATTTTAAAGTATATTGACAGAAAGTATATTTATCCTACTACACTGAAAGGAAAGCAGTAAATTTGATTATTTTTAATAAAAACATCAACTCTTAAAAGTTGCATATAAAATTTATTTAACCTAACCTAAAAGCTCATTGTGCAAAAAATGTTAAATCATTTCGGCAGATCAAAGTACAGCCATTCGGTGCTACTATCTGTCGTTGAGGATCTCTCATTACCGCCCCTTTTAAGAGGTGCATTATGGGTCGTTTATCATCGGTAGAGTTTCGAGGTCAAACATCCAAGCTCGGTAAGAGAAAACAAGGGGTTCGGTACCGGCTACCCTTTTCACAAGCTGGACGAAGGAGTACCTACGCGAATTCGATGTCGTAAAATTCCGATAACTAGCAAACCAAAGTCACATTCGATAGCTGGACTCCTTGCTCGCCGGCCGTAAATAATGCTGCTACTGGATCCAGTAATCGGCGTTTTCGGAATCCAATCACCACCCACTGCAGACGAAGAGCTCAATCGACTTCGAGATACCCAAGTACAGTTAAAATCTAGATATTGTAGTCGATTTAATTCCTACTTATCCAGACTTGACGCCGACCTGCCGAACATGCAATGAGAGCTAAATCCTACTTATCGTGTCGTTTTCTAGATCTCCTGTTGAAAAATGCAGTTAACACTTTTCATTTATATCTCAACTAGTTTAAAATTTTTATTATTTTGGCTGAGCTGGCTGACCGAGCGGGTTCGGCTTTTTTTATTATTTTTTTCCTTTTGAATTTTCAGTTCTTTTTTTTAAGTTTATATAAAATCCTACAACAAATCGAACTTTTATCAGTCTCTACTTAATTGTAAACAGATTTTCTTTTTGTATCGCCATTTTCGCACATTTTCTACTGCTCAAATGCACCCTAAGGAGTTTCAGTAAAATATACTATTTATGTGCATAAACATTTTCACGGTAGGAATATTAATGCATGCTTGTTTAGAAAACTTTTAGATTTTTTTTAACAAATTTGGCTAAGATTCCAAAATATTAATTTGTATTATTGTTATTTTTTCAGTTTTGTTTCTTTATTTCGTAGTCAAATAATCAGAAAGAAAGAAAATATCAAAATAAAAATAAATTAAAATTTGTTGCGTAATGAAATTTGATGTAAATCATGCTTTGGCGCTCTACTACGCTCTTTAACATTCAAAATCCACAAACTATCAATCAAATTCACAAATTGAGGAGTTTATTGAAATTCTTGTTTTTTGATATTTTTTAAATTAAATTTGAAAAAATTAAAAGACTCAATTTTCCAAAACAAAAAATTTCAATTTGAATACAGTTGTACCTAACCTAAAATTTTATTGTCGATTTTAAACTTTTTTTATATACTTTCATTCACATTGTCTTATGTATAGTTTAGTTAATTCTTCTTCTTGCTTGCCTTTTTACTTACCTTGCTATATGCTTTCTGTTGAATGTTTACCTTTTAAAAATAACTAACGCTTAGCTTCGTATCAACTCGATTAGAAATCGATGCAAAATTATTGCCGCTTTGTACAAATTTGAAAAATTAAAATATTGAAAAAAATTTGCTATAAAAAATATTTTCATATTTTAATAAATTTTACTGCTTTTTATTTTTATTTTATCCACAAAAACATATGAAAAACCAAACACAACTCGTTTGAACCTCTTCTCCCCCACGCTTCGCACCATCGCTTTCGCCCATTCTATTTTCCAATCGTCTGTCGTGGCTATCGCTCCCTCAGGTCTACTCGCTCGATTCGCCAGACACCTTTCAGTGTCTATATTCGCCAGCGTTTGCTTCGATACGCGCCAAGCACATCGATCGCATCGCCGAGCAAATCGCGACTTTGTGTGCCACACTCGGCGAGTATCCGATGGTGCGATATCGCACTGACTGGGATCGCAACATAGATTTGGCTGCTGCGGTGCAGCAGAAGTTGGACGCCTATAAGGCGGATGAGCCCACAATGGGTGAGGGTCCGGAGAAGTCACGTTCGCAGCTCTTAATATTGGATCGTGGTTTCGATTGTGTATCACCGTTATTACACGAATTGACTCTGCAAGCTATGGCCTACGATCTCTTGCCGATCGTCAACGATGTCTACCGCTATACACCAGGTCCAAATCAGCCGGAGAAGGAGGTGTTGCTTGACGAGAACGATGATTTGTGGGTTGAGTTGCGACATGAGCATATTGCGGTAGTATCTACGCAGGTGACACAGAACCTGAAGAAATTCACGGAATCTAAGCGTATGACGTCGAGTAAGTGATGCCTGGCTAGATTATGAGAAAAGAGAATGTTTTTGTGTTGATTATTTAATTACATAAAATAAAATAATTTTTAATTTTAAATATAAAAATTACTTAAATTCAATTTATTTTTTATTTCTTACCCAAACATCGACTTTTATAGCCGATAAAGCTTCCATGCGTGACTTATCGCAAATGATTAAGAAAATGCCACAGTATCAAAAGGAATTGTCCAAGTATTCTACACACTTGCATTTGGCCGAGGATTGCATGAAGACCTATCAGGTAAATATCGATTTAAATGTTTATAACGGAACTAACCTATAAGAACTGCATTGAAATTGTAAATGCACCGTTTGAGTGTAATCGATAATTTTTTCACAAATTAGCAAGCATTCATATAAAACTCTTATTTAAATATTTTTAACTGTATATTCTTGTAAGGGAACCGTCGATTTTCACTTATCGATAGCCAGTAATCGACCACTATCTTTCTATATTTAACGATTATTTCTAATAAATTTTATTAATTAAAAATTGTTTATCTCAAATATTGTTCTTCATCACCTCTACCTTTTAGAGCTACGCCGACAAATTGTGCCGCGTTGAACAAGATCTGGCCATGGGCACCGACGCAGAGGGTGAGAAGATCAAGGATCACATGCGCAATATTGTGCCCATCCTACTTAATGCGGTAAGAGGGTTCTACAATAATATTAATTTATTCAAAATTGCTTTTAGAATTACCCCCACTTTAAATTAAACTGTTATCCCTTCCAGGACGTTTCCAATTTCGATAAAGTTCGCATAATTGCACTTTATGTCATGATTAAGAATGGAATTTCCGAGGAAAATCTAACCAAACTTTTCACGCACGCCTCTCTCTCTCCAAAGGATCAGGATATGGTGCGCAATTTAAGCTTTTTGGGTGTAAATGTGATTGCCGATGTAAGTTTTAGAAAGTAATAAAAATTGCGTAAAGAATTCAAGAAATTTGTACCCCCTCAGAGATCCAATTGGAATACTTTTCTACTATATTTAAATTATTATCATATTTAAACAACAAAAAACAAAAAAGTTTTTTAATTAAATAAAATCTTATTTCCTCTCCCCGCTCTAGTCGCGCAAGAAAGTGTACAATGTGCCACGTAAAGAACGCATCACCGAACATACCTATCAAATGTCGCGTTGGACACCGGTGGTGAAGGATATTATGGAAGATTGCATTGAGGATAAATTGGATCAGCGTCATTTCACTTTTCTGGCTGGACGTGCGCAGAATACCAATTACCATGCGCCTACAAGGTGAGCAAAATAGAAAAAATAAATGGCATTAAAATCCTGCTCATAATTTTCTCCATAATTAATATATAATACGTACATATGTATGTGGATGGACACAACATTTGACCACTTTTCTTTCTCTCTCCACAGCGCTCGCTACGGCCACTGGCATAAGGACAAGGCACAGGCGCAGGTTAAGAATGTGCCACGCCTCATTGTATTCATTGTGGGTGGTGTTAGCATGTCGGAGATGCGCTGCGCCTATGAAGTGACCAATGCTGTAAAGAACTGGGAAGTACTCGTCGGCTCATCGCATATATTAACACCGGAAGGCTTTCTCAGTGATTTGGGTAGCCTCTCGAAGGAGGACTAAGCAGGGCAGCTCGAAAATATTAACAATTATTAATTTAAAGAAAATTCAAGGTTATGCTAATAAATATATATTTAGTTAAAAAATGCATTAATAATTTTATAAGCGTATAATTCAGGGTTTAAATGAGCGGAAGCGTACGATCTTGTACAGTAAAATGTTGCCTAGTAAATAATTTCGAGCGCGTTGAGGGAATTGTTTGTGTTTTGTTAAAAAGTGTGTTTAAAGGTGACGCAATTTTATTATTATACATAATTATTATTACTATTACTCTTTTATTGTATAATATTGATAGAAGTACTTGAATGGCAATTGAATTTTAGTTTAGCTCAGCGCTAAAATCTTTTCATATGTATCTTTAAATTCATAAAGGTATGATAAAAAAACATATTTACTCTTGAAAATACTATCTTGCATTATTGCTTACGACATTTTTGTGCAAAATCGACATGAGTCGCTTAAATATATATACATATATAAATATATATTTAATTGCTTCAAACAATATTTATGTGCAAAAATATTAATGAATTACAAAGTATTCTTGTTGTTATTTAAAAGTATAAAGTATTTATGTCGCATATTTAAATGAATTAAGAACTATTTAATTAAATTATATTTGCAATTTAATTACATATACATATATAATTCAATTTGACTTTATTAAACACCTATTCATTACCATAAATTTCGATCATTATAAGCGCTTTTCAGTAAATAATGTATAAATTACAAAATACAAAATAATTACTAAAAAAAATAATAATTAAAAGTGACTTTTCATTGGTAAATAGAAAACATAATTGAAATATGCGCACATTGAACGTTTTATAAACGGAAACAATTTGAAAACAAGCTGTCAACCAAAATTTAATTTTAACGCTACAAATTTATTACTAAAAGCACTTGAATATAAATTATATGCAAACTCAGCAAACTAGATTTAATAGTAGCGGCAACTATTCTTAGACAAACAACTACGAACAACACTAAAACACACAGACATACAAAAAATAACATATTAAAAAAACTGGTTTGTTTCCAACCGTATCCATGAAACAGGAACATATAAACAATTACACAAATACGATGGCGTTATAAAAATATTTAAAACTATATATATAGAGCATTTTCTAAATAAAATAAATATAAATGAAACTATTGAACTTATTAGCAAAAATTATAAATGCAAACTTGTTAACCACACTATAAGTGGCTTAGATATTACAATTAAGAATAATAAGAAAGATATTGAATAATAGTTACAATAGGAATCCCAGTGTTTATGTTGCTTTAATGAAATTTGCAAAATTATATGATAAGAAGTTACGCGCAGACCAACTACAGCAATAAACGTTCTTATTCTAATTAAAGAAACACCATCTCCATTAAATAACAAATTTAACAACAAGAAATTCAGCACTTTGACAAAAATAAAACTATCATAAATTCAATACCCACGAGGTAAGCGGTTAAGAAAATTACAATAATTCTATATAATATCTATCATACGTGCAAAACGCTAACAGCGATGACAGAATGTCAGCAAAGATTAATTATCCTTTTTGTTTTAACTCTTCTCTTGGCACCGTCTGAAATGGAATGCATTTTCCGTCTTAAAAAGACGCCAATCAAACATTTTTTCGCTCAACTCGTTACATAAAAACATAAATGCGATTAAAATATTAACAAAATAACATATGTGCATAAGGTTTTGGGGGCGAAAGCCGAAAATATCAAATATTGCCTTCATAACCAGTCGTGTTTTCGATTTTTTCTTTGAGGTAACGGATGTTCCGTTCAAACAACGGCGATGTTGCCACACAACGCTTTTTATGCCATTCGTGCTAAAAAGTTTCTTTCAATTTAATTTTTTTTATTTACATTACCCGACCTTTTACATGAAAAATTAAATAAATAATCAATAAAGAAAATTACGTAAGCCTTAAAGCTTTGCTGGCGCGCGATTATCAGCTTCTTCCAACTTTCTCACTGAAAACTTTAATCGAACCATCTTCAGAGAACTTAAGGAGTGCATAACATGCATATTAACTATTTTCCCTGATATATCTCCTGACACAAATATAATAACAACAATCTATAACGACTATCCATCGCACCGCATATACATATATACCTGTGTGATACTTCCAGAAACAACTTAACATACTCGTACGCCTCTACATACTTACTTTAAATAGTTAATCTAAATCAAGTTAAACAACAACAAATAACAGGAATGTAAGTAATTAGCTAAGCTTTTTTCGTATATTAAAAAAAACAAAAACTCCAATAAATTTTCAAATGTAATAAAAAGGAAAGCGCTTGTCGTGTTGGAGGAAACGTAAAGGAACGAAAGAGAGAAAAAAAGGAAGAAACGATTGTTTGAAATGCAATACAGTATTTTACAATTTACATAAATATATAATATATATAATATTTAACGAGATAAAAGAATAACGAACGTTCAACCAAAAATAACGAACAGCAAATTTCAATTCTTTATATATATACATATATACATGCAGACAAAAATATAGTTAAATTCAAGAAATTTAGATAATAAGTATGAAAATTATGAAATATACATACATATTTAACAATTGATTAAAATATAAAAGATAACAAAAAATTAGCAGCGCACTCGCGCCCATTACCGCACTACACTCGGCCTGACCAACAATCGGAGTAAACTCTGCAAGCACGCCCTGAGGTGTCAAATGGTTGCTGCCAAATAATGAACCAACCAACCAACCAACAACAACACCAGCCGGCAATGACCCTGCAATTTGTCTGTCATTTGCAAAACCAACAACAGTTGCGAGTGTTAACACCTGAGGATCACCAGACAAATGGCAGGGTTGCAACTGTTTCGATACCTCATGCCGTGTGCCCTTGCAGGTGCACTCTGTTAGGGTTGGGCGAAGAGTGTCGAGTGTCCAGTGTTGAGTGTGTAGTCGCGGTGCTTTGCTGCAAATATTCATGTATTTATGTAGAAAAAATATAATATTAATTGTTTATTGCTTGTTATAAAATAAAGAAATATACTCGTATAGTAGACAATTACAAAGTATATGAAATAACGGTATTAAAATCAAAATGAAACGAACAACTGTCGGAATCATACGAATACACACGTGTGCACCTACATAGTCTTTACATACATATATAAATATATAAATATATTTACTGTAGAATTGAATAATTTAAATTCATATAGCAATTATGAATATTTACATACATAACATATATTATTATATTTCATACCAAGTTTGGTATGTACATACATACGTGCATAAGAACTTATAAATAGTTATTACATATTAATAAATATTAAATTAAAAAGAAAAACAATTAATTAACACGTACGCATATACATATTTAAGCACATACAAACATATTAGCAATTATGTATTATTAATATTGCAAACATTTATTAACAGCCAATTTATTCATATATATACATACATACATAACTGTAATAATATGACCACAAGCGAACGTATGTCGATTTGCAGTAAGTGAAATATTATATGCAATAAGATCTGGCAGCACCGCGTACAGTATTGCAACGGAAATGCGACAGCGGCGCGGAAGTGCGAATCACGGAAACGTAGTAAGGAATATCAACTGACGTTTGCATAACGGGAAATGGAAAAATATCACGTGCACGATATGGTTGTCGCAAAATTCACATAGTATTGCATAAACGAAATAGTCATTGTAACACCAAATAAAAATAAAAGTAAAAATACAAAAGAACAATCGCTTCAACGAGGGAAATGTCTTGAGTATGTAAGCATAGGTATATTTCAAAAACAAAAGCAAGAAGCATGCATTAACAGCAACAAAGCAATAATAAGAATAAATTACAAACATATACACATATAAAATTTATGAACCAAAATCGAAAACAGTGAAAATCGCAACAACAAAAGATAACGTTCAACAAACTCGTACACAATTCTGTCAATTTTTTTCTTATTAACGCTGCATGCAACATAGCACAGCGTAGATTTTTATAGCGTAAGCAAATTTTATATATTTAAATAAATGTACGCCCACAACGCTCGAGATGGGGTTTTAAGCATTCAAAATAGTATTTAACTTAAATGAGATAAGAAATAAAAGAAATTAGAGAAAATTGAAAAACAATTATAAAATGTAGTAAGAGTCTGAATCAATTGGCAATTAAGCATGTGAAAATGTATAAAAATTTAAATAACATCTATATGTAATTGTTATGATAACGTGCTAAATTTCAAAACAAACAAAAGAGATAACAAAATGAAAAATTAAATGAAAATGATTATTTTGCAAATTTCATTAAAGCCAAAAGGATGTAAAAGGTTAGGAGTAAATAATATACATTTTTAAAGATGCAATAAAAGTCGTGGTTATTAAATTTGAAATCTGAATGAAATATACATAAAATATAAATAAAGCTATTATAATTGCAATTTAGGAAAATTTTAGGCCTGCGGAAAGTAAAGGGATATACAATTGTAGCAACAAAAACGTTTAATAACTCTTAATATTTCACATAAATACGTATATAACGAAAGGTGTATGGAAGTCTTTAATACTTGTAAATCTGTAAAGTTAATTCTTAGAGAAAATATTAAAAAAAAGTATCCGAAATTCGATTAGTATAACTAAATTTACATATAACAATTGACTAGAATAAAGAGCCATAGAAAAAGAGCCGGCGGAGTACAGACGTAGTATTACGATTTTCAATCTTTAAAAATAAAAATAAAACTTATTTAAGAAGTTAAGAGAAGTTTTTGAAATAAAGTGTAAAACCACATTTATTAAAAGTGGTATTAATTAATACTAATATATGCACACTATAAATATATAACAAAAACACATTGTAGTATTGAAATTAGAGAAAAATATGAACTAACTACTCATTTATAAGTTAAAAAGAATTGACCGCTAATTTAGTGATATATGTATGTACATGTATAATATTTTAACATTTAAATCTCAGCTCAGTTATCTGCAAAGTAAATGATAAATATAATCATAACGGTAAGTCTTTCAATAAAATAAAATAAATAATATACAACATGTAACATACATATGTACAAACAGAGAATCACATCACAAAAGCAATTACATTATGGTATACAAATTCATAAATACTTTACACAAAACAACATTAATAACATTACAAACTACACAAAGAAACTATTTAAACACTAATTGTATATACATATATAGTATATACTATATATATGATGTATTAAACTATTTAACAAGTTATTGAAAACAAAAACATACAACACACGTGTATATGAAGATTTGTTTTATCTAAGTTTATAGCACTCCAGTTTCTACTGCTGATTAATATTTGAATATTTGAATATTACGACACTTCTTGTTATGCGACATAAATTCAATTACTTTCAACTAATATATTTATTAAACATATGTACAATGTATTATATAACAAAAAAAAAATAATAATAATGAAGAAATTAAAGGGTGGCGG